ATGTTGGATTCCAAGGGTTATGGGTATAACCCAAATCCATACCCATTGGTATTATGATCAATGGTACATGTGGCCCAACTCATTATGTATTCATACATAATCTTAGTCCAACATGGACCATAAGCCCAACACATATAAATATAACTAATTTACACAATTAGTCCCCATTAATTTAATTAGTCTCTTGTGATCACTAAATTAATTCCAAACTAATTCTTGATCAATACTAATTAAATCATATGATTTCATATTAATATATTAGAACTTATAATATATTAATAAATCATATATAACCTTCTCTCAAGAGTCCATCTTAACAAATTGTCCTGGTGTTATGCAACCCAAATGGACCATGCTACTCTCGGGTCGAGTACATACCAATAATAGTTATGGACTTAGACATCTAATCCAACATGAGCAGCCGGCCATATAAGGAATGATTAGCCACTCTCGAGAGGATGAGGATAGGATGTATGCGTATCCTAGTTGTTGTACTTTTTTGGGCAGTTTGTGATGATCCTCTGAGAGAAAGAAGGGTAGGTGTGGAAGGTAGTATGAGCCCGTACTACTGGAAGCACAGGACCCGTACACGTCGTAAGGAAGTCATAAACCCTGAGGGCTCCGTCTGTCTGGGATAGTTTTGATGTTATGAATTATGGAATTTCGAATATATTCTAGTTTACTTTCAGTATGGTATTTACGAGGGGATCATGTTATGGATCTGGAGCGAGTGGCCATGGTTGAATGATGATCAGATTTGGGAGATCATCGCCACTGAGGTGGCTGCTGTTGTCTGGAGGTCTATGTCGGAGATGTTTGGGTCTATCAAGACCGCCATGATTAAGCTCTTTGACGATCGGTATGCTGCTCTTTCTGATGCTGTTGTTTCTGCTACATGGGTTCGAGGGGAGAGAGCTTTCCAGTACCAGGACTTCGACAATACGAAGCCCCCCAGAGTTTGATGGGGTCAGGGACCCCATTATAGCGATGAGGTGGATATCTGATGTGGATGGTTGTTTCATCACATGCTCTTGCCTTGCTGACCAGAAGGTGAAGTGCGCCTCGAACCTTCTCTGGTTGGGGGCGAAGGATTGGTGGAGATTGGTGACTAGTGCTTACACTCCTGAGCAGAGAGATGTTGTTACTTGGGAGAAGTTCTCGGAGATGTTTTGTGGAGATATGTTCCCTTGGTGGAGAGGGAGGGGTTGGCTCAGTAGTATTTGGATTTGAGACAGACTACTAAGTCGATGATGGAGATCACCAAGATGTTTATTGAGAGGGATCTTTTCTGCCCTGAGTTTGTTGCTCCTGAGCAGGCTCAAATGACCCAGTAGATGAGCATGCTTAAGACGGATATTCGGCATTTTGCGTCCACTCAACGTTATGGTCCCCTCGCTGAGCTTCAAGATGTCACGAAGAGGTGGGAGATTGAGATAGAGATTCAAACGAGGGAGTTCGGACAGGCTCCCGTTCAGTCACAACCAGAAACAAAGCGATTCAAGCCTGCTGATTCGCGTTATGAGGGATAGAGGGGTCGCACTTGTGGGAAGTGCGGCAAGGTTCATGAGGGGTTTTTTGGTATTCTTCTTCTACATGTCGCAATTGCGGAAGGGAGGGACACTTTGCGAAGGATTGTCGTTAGCAGGCTCCTCCGCTAAGCAATAGGATTTGCTATCATTGTGAGCAAGTGGTTATGTGACGGCCTAGTGTCCCTTACATCCCAGCAGGCTTGTGCAGCCGCCAACTACTACTACCCCTAGGATTACGAATGGACTCCAGGGTAGGGCGGAGCCCCCGAGGTCTCGAGGTCATGCATTCCAGCTCACTGCAGAGGAGGCCAGGGCAGTACCGGACGTCGTTACTGGTATGTTTCCATTTATTATTCTGTCAGTTATTTTATGGTATGCTTATGTTTATGATTTCGTTTTTGATGCATAAAGGAGACCCTCTAGCAATCCGAAACCAAACCATAACTGCAGTCGAGTGCATTCCGAGATGTGAAGAGTTCTGAAGTCAGTCTTCTTCCGAGATGAAGACTTATCCGAAGACATTCCTAGTTTTAGATGTAATAGAAAATGTAAAATCATTAAATGCTCCTTATCGTTTTTATTGATTAAACAGTTCATAGGACAAAACCGAGTAAATCGTGTGTGTTAGCTTTTCTGACTTATCAGATTTACATTCTCCATGCAAGTCTTGTATTTTGTCTTATTGTCTCTCATTTCCTATTTAAGGAGATGATTTTTCTATGCATTGTAACCTTGAAGTAGAAATATTCTCTTTACATCAAATACAAAAATATCTTGCAAGTCAAATCTCTTTCTTCAAAATTCTTCTTTTTCTTAATTTATCTTTAGCTTGCTCGTACTCACTATACTTTAATTCAATATTTTGTTGAATACTTTGCTGATCTTCATACTTCAAGACAAGATTGGTTTACAAGACTTGACTGGACCAAAATATTAGTAGCAAACATTGATCTTAAGTTAATTCAAGGTTTAAGTTTTCAAACCTTGTCCGCGCACTAAGTCTTGCACTTTCAATTGGTATCAGAGCTTGAATGGTTGTCCTTTGAATCCTTAACAGATTATAGTTGATCTGAGATTACCTTGGTTTTGTCAACCATTTTTGTGTTCAGGATAAAGTTCTTCTATATACCGCTTCTGCTCCAATACTTTAACTTCAATGGCTGCTCCTAACAAACATACTCAACAAATGTATTTGATGCAAATAACAAATAGCGTGGGTTGCCCATCTCGTGCCCCATTGCTAGTTGTTGAAGAGTATGATCACTTGAAAGTTAGAATGGAAATATTTTTACTTGGTAAGGAAAAAAGTGAAGAAATATTGAGATCTGTGAAAGAAGGTCCTCATGTTCCGGTTAGACAAATGGTGAGAGATGTTGTTGCTACTCTCATGGGCCAAGAAGAACAATGTACAACACCTCTTACTGCATCAGACATCGAAAAGCTTCATGCAGACCAGATTGCATTTTCAGAAATGGTGTTTGGTGTTCCTCCGTCTCTTTTTGAGCACATTAAGTTGTGCAAATATGCCATAGAGATTTGGGACACTCTTCAAGACTTGTTCGAAGGGTCTGAGAACATGAAGGATAAGCGTCTGACTTCTGTTGTCAACGATTTTGATACCTTCACCACAACTCCCGAAGAATCTGTAGCTTCTGCTTTGAATAGGTACAAAATTGTTGTGAACAATATGACTCCACGTGGTATAGTCAGAACTCCTCTCGAGTAGAATCTGAAGTTTATCAACAACCTCGGAAAAGGCTGGGGGAATGTCAAGTCATGTTTTCAGAGTAACAGATCTTTGAAGAAACTGAAGCTTTATCAACTATTTGACGAACTACAAGGCCATGAATCTGACGTTGCTCAAACATTAAGAGAACTTTCAGGAGGTCCTCTTGCCTTGGTTAGTTGTGTTAACCCACTATTTCCGAACCCATATGTGTCAGATCCTTTCGGAACTATCCTACCTATTTCGCCTGTTCCACCAACAATTCCTACTCCACCTTTTCTGAACCGTTCATTTGAAGAAAATCTTGATCTCGATCCAGCTGAGTTCGAACTTCGTTTTCAACAAGAATTTGCACTATTGTCCATGAAGTACAAACTTCCCTGGAATCCCAGTCGTAAACCTTATCCGAACTGATTTCAAGCCCTCATCAAAATAATCCTCAACCATTTCCTAAACCTTCAGAAAACCCACCTACATACCGACCCAACATCCCAAATCACTCCTCGGAATCCCATGAAATTCCGAAATCAGTCAAACCCAAGATAGTTTGTCATAAATGTGGTCTTGGTAACCATTTTTCTAAAGATTGTTTGGTTGAAACCTCTCAGAAACCGATGGTAAAAGATTCTGCATACTATGCTCGTAGAGCTCAAGAGCTGGCAGAAAGTGAGAAAGTTTTTGTTACCACAGTGTCGAGAAATGTTGATGGGTACTGGTCTTTTGGAGATGAGGATGAAGTGAGAACTGGAAGGAACATATGTCTCATGTCAAGACAATCGATTGAGTGTGACGAAGGATATTAGTCTTCATGTTCAGAATAAGACGATGACGATGCTGAACCAAACTTTTGCTACATGGAAACGAACAATACACCCAACAGAAGCATCATCCAATAGGTAAAATCCAAGATCCCTGACAATAATTTTGATTTATCTTTTTGTGAACGGTAAACAAAAAAAGTTACTTATATAACATATTAGAGTATTTACAACTTTTTAAATTACTATATAAAAATAAATTAGTTTAATATCTAAATAATAATTTCAATTACATGTTTGTTATTTCTAATTTTCTACAAGCTAAAAAACAAATGATTTTAAACGATGGTATAATGGTAAAAAAAATTTAGTAGTTAATGATATATAGATATCATTGAGCAACCCAATGAAGACCAGCTAACATCTGATGTATCCATTCAATGAAATTTATAGAAGCATTTAAGTTGTGTAGTAACCAAAGCTCTCGTATTTATCTGAATCCCTATGGGGCTTCTATCCCAGCCGTATCCAGTGTTGCCTTTCTTCTTGAAGTTGAGAGTACAAGTTCTGTCATGGACATTAGTTGAATTAAAGAGTAGTTTAAGAATATGTTACATTTACCGTTTTAAAAAAAAAAAACTATTTGACTTTATATATTTAAACAATAAATTTTTCATTACCTGATAAAAACATATATAACAAGATGATTAAACCACCTAAAGATACAAAATAACATATAAAAAATATCTATACTTCTATATTGTTATTGAACTAGATGCACATACACTTAAAACTATATTTAATTTTGTTAAAAAAATATTTACCCCATCACAAAATCCCATCCGATGGATCTCTTTTCGCAAAATAGTCATAAAGTCATTGGGCCCCACCAAAAATTTCGATATAAAACAAACCATTCCTATATGATCTATATAGTCAACAAAAGAAGAAAGTAAGATCTAACACTTCAAAAAAAAATTCAAAGTGATGGAATATGCAAACAAGAGGTTGCTGCCATTAAGAATGGTGATGTGCTTGGTGCTACTAGTGGTGTACACCACCATGAGTTCTTCTACTCAAGCATGCTCAACCAATGGTGGAGATTGCAGGAACTGTATTGCAAAGGCGATGAGAAAAGATTGTCCAAAGTGTGCACCAATCATGAGGTGCATGGCTAGATGCTTGTGGGCGAATACACCAAAGTCCAAGTGTGTGAAGCAGTGCGACTGTAATACTGGATCCTATCCAAAACTTTCTGATTGTAAGAGTTGTTTGTTACAGTGTAAATGCATGTGTGCTGTGTATTAGTTTGTGTATTTGTGTGTGTGTGTGTGTGTGTGTGTCTGCATCATTTCGAGTTTAGTTTCTATTGGTATCTGGCAATATTAATGGAGATATGAACAAGTTCCCTTTTACATTGGAAGTTTGTTCGATCAGAGAAATCAAAAACATGGTAAACGGTGAACCTTGTTGGTTGGTTGGTTGAATTTGGGTACGGGTTTTCGATGAGTAACGAGTAATAAAAAAGATGAATGAAGTCAAATGATAAACATATGATTTGTTACGAGAAAAATTAAAACTATTTCAGAATCTTATATATCTGTTATGAGGTAATTGATATATAGTTGCTATCTGTTTAAATTAAGTAATAGAAGTCCTTTTGCAATGTTTGTTCTAGCTTATTGATATTAATTTAATTATAATATTTTATAGATAAGAAAAAAAAAGATTTACTTTTATGAGTTTGTCAAATAGTTATTATATTTTTATATAGACCATTTTAGGACGTATATTATAAATATTTTAGGACGTATATTATAAATATAGTACTATATAGTTATAGTAGGTGTAAGACTCATACATTAAATGGGTTCACTTAAAAAAAATTAAATATGAAACTCTAAACATTTGAGAAGTTTGAATTTATAAAAAAAAAAATTTAAAAATATTGAATTATTAAAATTAAAGTATTTTTTCTTTTTTAAATTTAAACAAATAATTCAGATAAATAAATAAAAGAAACTAATGAAGATTTAATTTTGAAATTTTAAAATTAGAATGAAAATCAATTAATAAAATTGATATAGATTTATTAATACATTTATTGCAACTATTATATTTAAATATTATGTGAAATTTAATAAAATGAAAAAAAAAACCACAAAATGCCATGTGGAAAAAAAATAATTAAAAATAACCACAAAATGATATGTGACCAAATCAACAAAAATGTGATATGTGACAAAAAGATTTTCATTTATTAGAGTAGATTAACAGGAATCTTATTATCTGATTAGGGGGGAAATTAAAATGGTAAAAGGTAACGTTACATCAAATTTGCTACAAATAAGATCAAAATGAATGTTGGTTGGTGGTGACATATTATAAAATATATCTAATTACCAAATATATCTAGCACCAAAAAAGATGTAAAAGAAATCCTTTACTACATAGTTATATTAACACGAATCTAACTATAACGGTTACCGTCGCTATTGCTCATTATTCTTGTAGTGCACCGTGAAAATTTTACTTTCCAGATGGAGAGTTAGGCAGTGAATTTATCAACAATCTTTTTCCAACTTTATATTTCATAGTATTAAAGCCAACCAGGAGACATAGATACACAAATACATAAACAGTAAACATAAGGTCGAGCAACCAATGATGCCCATTAAATTCTCAATATCACCAAAGTTCACTCTAATGATTATCAACTTCTATGTATATTAATTTTAAGATAGATGCAAGGAAGAAACAACAACGTCTACAATGTTCCTAGCATTTGACCATGACCGGTCCAAAGGTTTTCTATACCTTGGACGGCAAGACTTAATTTATGCCCCCATCATTATAGCATACAAGAAGCCATTTTAGTCACCTACAACCAAAAAAACTCAAGTACCATATAATTTTCTGAAGCAAAACCATCAAGAATTTTAATGCTAAAAAATTTCAATAACATTGCCCTCATTACTCAAAATTGAAAATATCACAACTAGTTACTAAATAGGTTTCACATGTCATAAGTAGGTAGAATGACAACCAAAATTGATAGATATTTAAAATAAATTACATCACTAATTGCACACTAAGAATTTCCTAGTTGTAAGAAAACTACTAAGCTTTTTATTGTGGTGATTTCCTGCAGATATTTCAAATCATGGATCTTCGAGATGATGTGATTTTCAAAGATCCCAAATTATCAAAACACATATATAACAAAAAGTTATCAAAATAATAATCCAAACAAATATATGAACTTATAAATTTTGACTTTTTGGTGACTTATATTTTCAACAAATCAAGCGATTCAAAACAATTTTTTAATGATTATTATGATGCCCAAAAAATTAAAATCAATCAAAAATTTGTATTGAAAAATACATAGCATGCAAGACCAATTCAATACAATATAAGTATCAGGTACTACCAACTCAAGACAATGAAAACTAATTTTCATTATTAACTCATTTTCCAAATACCTATTACTTATGAATCACAATAATGCAATTTAAATCAAGAATTATATGATCAAAATCAAAACCAATCTGAATTTATAATATTAATAACATGTAAACAATTAAATAATAAAGATCATAAAAAAATCAAAACCAATATGCGAATTCACAAATTGAAACTGTGGATGAAAAATCAAATAGCAAAAATCATAAACTTAACAAACGAATAAACAAGAACTAATAACCACTACAAGAAAATTTTGATTTAGCTACGAAAAAATTCCATAGCTAAAAGTTAAAATTTCGTAGCTAAACTTGAATAACTACAGAAGTTGCTACGGAATTTGTCAATGAGATTCCGTAGGAATATTTCTTGTAGCAAACTGTTTAGCTACAGAATTACAGTTCCGTAGTAGTTTTGCTTCGACGTTTATTCCATAGCAATTTAACTACAACACACTTCCATAACAATTCCGTAACAATGGGGTGCGTAGCAAATTCCGTAGCCATTTGTTCAGTAACAAATTCTGTAGCCATTTGTTTTGTAGCAAATTCCGTAACCATTTGTTCCATAGCAAATTCCATATTCCGTAGCCATTTGTTTTATAGCAAATTCTGTAACCATTTGTTTCGTAGCAAATTCCGTATCTATTTGTTCCGTAACAAATTCCGTATCCATTTGTTCCGTAACAAATTTCGTAACCATTTATTCCATAGCAAATTCTGTAGCCATTTATTCCATAGCAAAAATAGGTTCCAAAACAAATTCATAACGATAAAAATATTCAACAAAATCCAATTTCCATTTATAATATTCATCGAAATATATAAAAATGCAATAAATTTGAAATAGTTACATAGATTTTTATAGATATATTACATAATTGAAAATCCTTTTACATGGTTCCCTAATCATCAAAATTGAATATTCGTTACAAATACACAAACAAGCATAGATGCTCAACAAAAATGGCACAACCTGCAAAATCAAATTTATAAACAACTTGATTAACATTCAAATCTATTGTATGAAATCTCATTATATCTTTAGTTTTTGACCAACTAGAGATTTAAATCTGAAAATAAACAAAAAAATAGAAATAAACAATCCAACTCTTCTATTTGATACACTATTACCATATACGCAATAAACAAAATGAATCAACTTTTGAGCATCATCAGATCCAACGTTAGCATGATGCCAAAAGGATTTGAAATAAAGTTAAAACAAAATGACAATACAATGATCATAGACACCTACATATTAACTTGTTTTTATAAAACAATACTTGATTTTCTATTATAAAAGGTAGTCTAGTAATAAAAGATTTAGATGTTTAAGTTTTTGTGTGCTTTGATATCTGCTATATAATCACAGCAGATTGCAAAAAAACTGAATTTTCATACTAAAATTTTTTAATGGTAGTGGCTGTTGTTGTTTATGATCTTATTATTGATATTGCTCCCTAATTCCAAGAAACCAATTTGTTTGTTAATTTGAATATATATATATATATATATATATATATATTGCTCCCTAATTCCAAGAAACCAATTTGTTTGTTAATTTGAATATATATATATATATATATATATATATATATATATATATATATATATATATAATGATTTGCTATTTATCAGTCAAATTTTGGACTCTTTTCCATGAAAATGAGGTAGTGACTCTTAAAATTAACTGCGTGTAATGTATTTTGCAAGATGAAAAATTATGTATACCCGAAGCAAATCCATCTGTCTTTGACCAACTTATAAGGTAATCTGATACCAAAAATTCAATAAGCTGGATCCTATGAAATACAAAGTAAACATGACAAAACTATTCACAACCCAAATAATATTGTGCTAAATAATACAAACTAGTGATAGAAAAGCACAAGTACATGATATGCTCATAATGAAATTTAAGAACATGTTACTCATTTTATGAAAGTTGCTAAATATTGCATTTAACCATTCTTTATTTACCAAAGTCATCTTATTCTATAGTAACTCTATATAACCATGCCTATATTCTTGCATGATTAGGCAACAAAATTAAAATTTTCACAAGCAATGTATCTTTCTAATTTGTTAAAACTTCACAAGGAATACATTATGTTGGTCAAAAGGACTTTGAAAGAGACAGTAACAGGTAGAAATGTTCTAAACCTGGACCGCATGGTTATAATATGTTGTTTTTGTCACTGTTGTCTTGGGATTATATTCAAAGAAGTTATCTTCAAGTGTTCATCTTTCCTATATCCCAAGAAAAAATGAATGATGGTAAGGTTTCAACCAAATTGATCAGTAATCTATAATACCTCATAGATAGTTACGTGTCAGGCTATATTTTACCTGATTTGTCATTACAACAAAATTTCCACTCACATCCTTGGATTTTTTTTGCAGTTCTCTTTTAGTGCACACACTGGTATATGATGAACTTTCACTTGGTTGTCTAATAAAACATGTTCTTAACACAAAAGCGATTCTTTTATCCCTTATGTATCCTGTTGCTACCACCTGATATTTATGATGGATGAAAACAAATTCAACACCCTTAGCATCCAAATCATTGACATGTATGGTAATATGATGTAGAAGAACAATCTATATAGAGAAAAAACAAAATGAAATTATTAATAAATAAAATATGAAAGATATAACCAATAATAACTGAAAATAATAACAACCTCTTTTATTAACTCGGTTAAGCAACATAAATATCTTTCCAAGAAAAGATATGTTGCAATTTTTATGAAAGTGGAATGGAATGGAATGATAAAAGAATGGTATTCATAGAATAAATGGCACCATTATGACCAACATCCCATCTATGAAAATGTATTGATGAATACTCACCCATAAGTGGAAATTGTTTCACAACATAAGTCCATGTCTTCGAAAAGAAGCAGAAACTCCATACTTTCTACAAAACCATTAAATCCCAAATTCAATCAGGCCTAGTACAAAATTACTCTTTTACCCCTGTTTTCAACTTCTAGCAAAGTAAATTACATAAAAAAAATAACAAAGCTATCTCTTCTAAAGTCTTTCTACCATAAAAATCAAAAAATTTTGTTTATAAGCAAAGAAAAGAGAACAATCTAAAACACAAAGCAAAGAAACGACAACAATCTAAAACACCATAAGGCCTGAAAAAGCTTGACTTGAGGATTTCTAAGAAGTTTTGCTTTGCTCAAAGTCACCTTCATGTTTTTCTGTTATGTCACCATGTAAGGATTTGATTATATATGGAGTGAAGAACTTACTTTTGTAAGCTGAAAGGAAGTCTGAATCAAAGGAATGTTATTGCTTCCATCTCCTCATTGTTATGCTCTGCAAATGCAAATGGTATACACAATCAAGTTGCATTTTCCCGGAGTAATAAGATAATGGAAAGTTAAATAACATACGAACGCCCTAAATTAAGAACATAATTTATATGATAATCGTAGTAATCTAATACCAGACAAAAATGATCCTTGTGTGGAACTGGAACCCTCACTTCTTATTTTTCTTCTTTCCTTCAGTCTCACCGCAACAACAATTCCAAAAATTACCAAAAAAACACCGCATATGATAATTTGAGTTGTTGCCATACCACCAATGAAGGCATTGTATTGGCGAACCGTAGTGAAGCATCAACTGGAAAAGATGATGACAATGGACCCTACAAAAATTACCAAAAAACCCTAGTCCAGTGTTATTTAGGGCAAATAAAGTAAAGAGGCATATATGCCAACACTTAAACATCATTCAACAGCTTTATGAACAAAAACGAAAATACAATTACAAACAAAGAATTGAACAATTGTGTAAACGGAGATGGAAAAGAAAGTATACATGGAAAAACATCAAATATAATTTCACCTGGAAGCCAATATTAGAGTAGGAGATGGGTGTTGCAGTAAATGAACCCTCCGAATTCGACATTCCTCTCAAAAAGTAGAAAATTAGTTGTAGGTTAAGAAAAAAAAGTCGGTCTTCTCCAATTTCGTTCTCTGTTGACGAAGGAATTGAAAGCTACCTGTTGCTACCACCTGATCACCGTGTATATGCGTAGATGAAATCGAATGAAAGAAGCGGTGGAAGCAAACGGAAAAACCTGATTCGAAGGTTGGGATGTGTAATCTAAGGAAAGGTGGGGCGTTTAATAGGAAGACAAGGCGGGGAGCCGATGGGAGAGAATCCATAGCAGAGGAAGAGAACACGTGAGCAGGCATTGACTAGGGAGGAGACCACGGACTAAGCTGTCAATCCGTCAAAAAATACCATGCCCTAATTAAAACATCACAACTACAAGGATAAAATGTGACAAAACCTTCAAATCATATAGCCAATGTGTAAAACTGGAAAAAGTTAGTGGCCAATGCTTAAAACTGAGAAAATTATTGTCGCTAACTTGTTCCACTTTTAAGAATAAATAAAAAACTTAATATATATATATATATATATATATATATATATATATATATATATATATATATATATATATATATATATAGTAATGATAATAAGAATAAATAAAAAACTTATAATAATATATAAAGAATTTTATTAATCATAATTAAAAATCATAACACAATTAAAAACAGTAATTTATTTTTTTTGGTAAAATATTTTTTTATATTTTACTACGGAAGTATATTCCGTAACTAATTGACTACGAAATATTTCGTAGCCAAATAGCTACGAATTTAGATTCTGTAGCTATTTTGCAAATTCAAATACAACTTAGATACACAAATAACAACGGTTAACCTTTCCGTTACAAGTTTTGTTGTAGATTAGCTATAGATTTTTATTGTGTAGCAAATTTCTGTCACAAAGTAGTTACAAATTTCTATTATGTAGCAAACTAGATACATATTTTTATTCCGTAACCGATTTTGTAGCCAACTAACTACGAAAATGGATTACGTAACAAGTTTCATACCAAACTAGCAACAACCAACAACCATGTAGTATATTTCATAGTAAAAGACCTACAAATTTTGATTTTGTAGCAACAATTCAAGATTTAGCTACGGAAATGCAACTCCGTAGCTATTTTCGTAGAAAAATAGCTACATCCAGCCATTTTGTAGCATATTCCGTGGTATAATATCTACAGATTTTGATTACGTAGTAATTTTTTGTAGTTATTCCTAGTTTAGCTACGAAATGTAACTCCGTAGCCATTTCCGTAGCAAAATAGCTACGAAAAGCCATTTTGTAGCACATTTCTTAATAGAATAGCTACGAATTTCAATTCCGTAACAAGTTTTCGTAGCTATTTAGGATTTTTCCTGTAGTGCACATTCACATTCAAGAAATGTCATAAAAAATATTAAATACATAAATAAACAATTGGATATCAAATTAAAAAGCTACCTCAACAATCAAAGACTACCAAAGGTTTCAAAACATAGATTTAGGGCGATTTTTGATTTATTTCTACAAACCAATCTAGTTACCTATATATGGGCATATCGCTATATCAGAAAGCTTCAATCAACATCTTTACAGGTTTATGGAAAGTTTGGGAGGTCGGTTTTGATGTTTACGTCCGGTATGCCTTTTATATCCCTCATAGTAGGTTGGAAAACAATTTATTCCCGGTTCCCATGAGTTCAATGAAGCCAGTTGCCCTTTGTATTAAAGAAACTAAGAAAAAAATCAGGATGCAGAAAGAACAAATCAGATGACCATATAAATCGAAAAAATCTCAAAGGTCGTCTAGGAGTTCTCCCGAATACTAGTCTCCTCGCCTTCTTCAATAATCAGTAAGGCGTGCGGTTTTTTTAACCGATCGAAAATTGCATCTATCGCTACTTTCACTTTCAGTCTTTTAATAGAGCCCTTGAGCTTCGCCCCTTTCCTTACCAACTGAACTATTTTTATGGATCACGTTCTTGGCCCAAATGAGAGGTATACATATATGCCCCATGATATGTTGCTGCCCTGGGCTGTGGCCCACCTCTCCCAGCCCTTGGGCCGGATCTGACTATAGGGATTTATATTCCATCATCCCAGGGAAATCAGGATTCTTCACGGTAGACACATATGTATTTATCTTATAGATAAATCCTAGGCTAGTCGTGCTTTCCTTTCATACATAGTTACATACACTCTTGTACATGTATATATAGAAGTTATTATTACTAGAGAGACGCATCGAGATTTCTTAAACTAATAGTCTCCAAATTTAAATATTCGTCTTCGTCCATCCTGTTACTCTCACCTTTCCTGGACCACCATCGTGAATCCAAGATGAGGGTTTTAGGAAAATTGGCATTATTGTGCTCCTCTCCCCCTTCTTCACTGCACCATCGACGGCAGATATCATATCTATGAAGCTTCGATCCGATAAGCGACCTCTGATCGAGTTGTCGAAGTTCAATTTCACACATAGCGGTTACGTCTCTGTGGCAATCTCATCCGTGTCGGTCACCTCCTCCATCTTATTACAACCTGCAGATCGTTCACGTACGTATTGGTTTCTTCCTTATCTCCAAGGAAAATCTAAAACGACAATATCGTCTTGAATTCCAAGAAGGCGCTAAGTCCATCTTGGATTCTAAATTAGTATCGGTCTTGTTTACTCTCCAAGATGTTTCCGATGATCCTCAGTTTTCCTTCAACAAATCATACCCTGTCACATATCCCGGTTTGAACTACCTCTACTTCGTCAATTGAAACCGCCAAACGCTCGTGACGATGGGCGTCCGCACAGAGCTCTACAACATCGATCACGGCTCTACAAAAGACTATTTATCAGCCGGGCTAACGCAGCTTCCATCTCTTTACTTAACTTTTTCCCTTATTTATCAGTCTTTTTTAGGGTTTTGGATCTTGGTTTGGTTCAAGAACCAGCGATGTTTTCACAGGATGCATTTACTAATGGGCGTGCTGCTTGTTATGACTTCCGTTCACTATATCTGTGCTGTTGCTGATCGACATTATGTCAAGGTTACAGGTACTCCTCATGGATGGGATGTCTTGTTTTACATGTTTCAGCTTATCAAGAATGTGCTTTTCTTCACCCTCATCATGTTGATTGGCACCGGATGGTGTTTCTGGAAGTCCTTTTTGGACGAAAGGGAAGAGTTGATTTTGATGGTTGTGATCCCACTTCAGGTTCTGGGTACTGTAGCTTCTATAATGGAAAGGGAATATCGTGACGACTGGGCCGAGTGGAAGGTTGCTACTTTTGCAGCAGATTACGCCTCTTGTGTTGTTATGTTCATCCCCATGTACTGGTCGATTCTCTCGTTGAAGGAGGCTCGTGAGACTGATTGGAATGCTGCTAGGAATTTGTCAAAATTGAGTCGATTTGTGATGGTGGCTGTTGGATACGTGTACTTTACGAGAATTGTTTTTGTCATGGGAATGGGTACCATTGTAGATGACAAGTGGCCATGGGCGATTGATGCGGCAACCGAAACAAGCAACTGTATGGTTGTAATGTTTTACATGTACATGCCATTACAGATAAAGGTTGATGTTCTAGGGGATGATCAGGAGGTAGGGCTTTGAACTTTGTTTTGTCCCTCGTTCATATTAGGGTTCACGTGATATACCTTGACTTGTGACTAGTTTTTTCTGGAACAATTTAATGTGTTTAGTTGGTCTTCTTAGAGTTATAGGTTTAATCTTGACACTTAATTTAAGTGATTGCTAGTTGATGGGATTTTTGGACGAAATAAAGTAAGAAGTGGTTATTGATTTAAATAAATTGTTTTCTTTAATTATTTCAAAACTGATTATTACTCTTTTACCTGATTTTTTTTAATTAAATATCTGAAAAATCATTTAATTTTTTTAGGAGTCGTTTGATAGTTGATGACTAGGTTAGAGCCAACTGAGTTAGAAATTCAGACTGAGTTTATGTTTTTTTATTATTTCTCTAACTGACTATGGTGAATGAAAAAAAAATGATCGTTATGTTGTCTCTTGTATTGGATAAGGTTTTTGTTATAGTATTAAAAAAACAACAATAAAATGAATAACAATGCAACTGTCATCTTAAATGCTTAAACGCCACCATCTTATTCCAAATTAGGATCATATGATTAGTTCACGGTTAGGTATTATAATTAATAGAATAAAGATACAAATACAATTGCATATTGTTCAAAAGCTTGTTACAAAAATATAAATTATATCTGGGGACAAATTTAGAAACTTGTGTTGAAAAGTCTAGGAGGGTATATTCAGAAGTTGTTTCATATACTCAAGAATACTTTTTATATTACCTCAGTTATAAGTTGCAATTTGTCAAACATAAACCATTTCTCACTAATACATCTTCCAAATTTGTTAATGGCAAATTTATTAGATAATAAAATATACAAAGGTTTTAAAAGTGACTAATTACAGGATGGGGCGCCACCCTAGTAGATTCCTTTAGACCTCTTACCAGCATCATCGCTCGAGCAATATATTCTTTTCATTACTTCCCCATTCTTTTCATTCTATTCATTACTTCCTATTTCTTTCCATTCTTTTCATTATTTTTCATTGTTTTCATTATTTCCATGTTTTACATAATTCATACATCAGTATCAAAATACTCATTTCAAAAGTAAAACATCTATATTTCAAAACATTTCAAACACGTTAACAAAACATTCGTTTTCCAAAACTTTTTTTTCTTTCAAAAACATTATTGCCTTCAAAGCGTTCTTTCAAAACATTCTTTCCAAAACATTTAACACTTTCATTTCAATACGTTTCATATATCAAATCATTAATGTTTCATTATCATAAAATTATATTGTCATGTACCTCAAAGTGGGAAAAATGCCAACACACACTCACATCAATCACACGTAGGCTAGCTAGTATTCTTCTAGTTCCTTTCCTTGGGGCAACACTCTCAAACAACACCTATATAACATGGACATAAGTCATTAAAATGACCAAAATACCCCTCAAAGCTTTCATTACAAAATTTTGTTGTTTCATCTCATTCCTTATGTAAAAATATGAACATAGGCGAAAATCGCGCATAAATCCGAGTTTGTATGAAAAAGATACAAAAAAAATACATGGCATTAATCAGTGCATTCCACGCCCATGGTATGATTTGCCTTGCCATTCCACGTTCGTGGAATGCGGTCTGCACACACAAAATTCCTGAATTTTCTCAATATAACACCCTACTTTGCATAGTTCTTGAAGACCTTTTTCCCATTCACTTTGTACCATTTATTGAGGTTCTCACACATGTTTAGGAAGTGTTTTATCATCTTAAAACACTCCAATTAATTCATTAAGTGCTCAATGAAGCATTTAAGATCATATAAATTCTCAAATTCCATATGAAGGGTTAACTTGTCCATTGATCAATTGGGCATTCTAAAACTTACAAAGCATGTTCCCAACTTATTGAACACTCAAATGAATGTTGTCAAGTACATAAAACCTTCATTAATCTCATTGTAAGTACATAAACTAACCATGAAAGGACAATGTAACCTTCCTTCTATAAAGAAACAAAAACATCTAGTAAATATCTTCTTCCTCCTTTTGTTCTTCATTGCTCGATGTACTATACTCATAACCACCCTCGCTATCAGGAATACCATCATTGTCGTCCTCATGAAATTCACCTTCTTCATCAATGTTATTTTCATTATCTGAACCGTTTGTTGACATTTCGTGATCATCATAATTATCTGTATCGGTTGTAGTTGGTATAATGATTTCATTTGATTCAACTTCATCTTCTTGAAAATCAATGTCTTTCTGAGGATGATTTTCACGTACATCAGACCAACCACGAGGTTTAACTTTAAATACAGCCCACCAGTCTGAGTTGGTTGTTTCAAACTTGGGTAATGAATGTAACACACCTGAGTGGCTTGCATGGCTAAAACAAACGGCTCGAACTTGTTGTATTTTCTTTTGACATTTATTTCAACCAAATTATATTGTTTGTGAACCTTAACTCCTATGTTAGGTGTTGGATCGTACCAATGACAATTAAACAAAACTGTTATTTTAATTGGGTAACCAGAGTACTCGGCTTCTAAAATTTTCACTACCCTACCGTGATAATCACATCCTTGGTACCTAATACACAATATGTTATTCATTGTTGATTTGTTCAGACCGTGAGCTTCTGTGTGAAACTTGTAACCACCGACATAGTATACATTATATAATTTCACTTTCCTGAATGGCATTTTGAAAAGGTAAAATATATACTTGTTCTTTATCCGATTCTTACGTGACTATATGACAAATGGTAAAGCACTTAATTAGAGCTAATTATAACCATAAGAAAAAATAATAAAATTAAAAATTATAAAATTAACACCCTCATAGTTTTGAAACCATACTACAAAGTTCTTCTCAACTTCAGCTGCAAGCTCCTGTTCATCCATATCCTCAATAAGTTCATTCAGATCTTCTTTAAATATTATGTATTATCATTTAAATAACATTTTGAAAGTTACTATGATGTAATAAACTGTAACGTCCATAAATTTTACGCCAAATTCAAACTTTTTCAACCATAAATAAAAGTCAAATAGTATTGTTTACAAAATGTTTTCAAATCAATATCCATCAGAGTGTCCCAAAATCATATCATAAGGATGAGGAGCGGTACGGTCACACCTTCGCCTTGCCACGATCTCCTGAAGTACCTGAAACAATAAACTGAAACTGTAAGCCCGAGGGCTTAGTGAGCTACCCCCAAAATACCAATACCACACTGACAATACCATATCAGTAACAACCAATCAATCAATCATGCATACTGGGCCATCGGCCTGACTGGTCCGCCCTACCGGGCCTACAGTCTAACTGAATCTATTCATGCATACTGGGCCATCGGCCTAACTGGACCGCCCTACTGGGCCTACAGTCTATCTGAATCTATCTCGAGCCTTCGGCATGACTGGTCCGCCTCGTGGCCTGCAGTCTCCCCAGACCGCTCATAGGGTATGTTGGCCTTCAGCACAAAGCAGGACCGCCTCAACCCAACCAATAAGCAAATAACCAAGTTCACATAACTATCATATACTGGCATATACAACATCAAACATATCTATCATACTGATCATCAACCATAGAATCCTCTCGTAACGAGAGTACCGACCTAGCAGGTCACTAACATACCAATCCTTACAGATCATAAAGCATAACATACTGTCTACCCTGATTCCGATCTAGCAGACCAAACCATATGTAGCATACCATAACAATAACAACAAAAGGGACGGCCTTGGTGCCGTAGACCCTATCGATATAGTGAGGATGACTCACCTCGCAGATGCCGACTCGAAAAGGTAAACTCCAATTCTCGGATCACTTGTCACAGGCTCCACCACCTATGACCATAGTACAATATACTCATAAGTCCTTAACTCTATAAGGTACTCCATAACCCACCAGTCAACCCCTAGTCAAAGTCGAAGTCCTCAGTCAAGGTCAACAGTCCATGTTGACCCCCAACTCGTCGAGTACCCTTGGCTACTCGCCGAGTTCCTCGAAGCACATTCCACTCGCCGAGTCATCGGGGTGACTCGTCGAGTTCCTTCGATTCCCGATCAAACTCTAAGGCCACCCGTCGAGTTCCCTCCTTGCCACTCGACGGGTACACACGTATACATATCCTAGGGAAAACTCATCCGACTCGCCGAGTTGTTCTTCAACTCGTCGAGTCTTATGGTGATCTTCATCGGACTCGCCGAGTTGTTCATCCAACTCGTCGAGTTCACGGCCATCTTCATGTGACTCGCCGAGTCAACCTTGCGACTCGCCGAGTCCATTCAGTCCTTTTTCCATACAGACTTGTTTTGAGCCATGCAGCGGCTCCAAATCACAGATCCAAGCTTCTAGGGCATGCTTTTCACGTAAAGTTGCAAACTTTACGTGCATGCATGACTAATAAGGCTCTTAATGCCAAAACTAAGTTCTTAATGGGGCTTTATGCACAAGGAGGGCCTCATTCTCGACCAAAATCAGAGCTTTATGACTCTAGAACCCAAGAAGGTTACAGATCTGAAGTTACAACTTCAGATCTAGCTCATATCCCACATTACCATCTCAACCAAACCATAAAAACCCTAGATCTCAACCAAAAGAGGTCTAGAAAGAAAAAGGAGAAAAGGTGACGACTTGATACCTCCAAATGATGCTATTTGAGGTAGATTTCTGATCTCCCACACTTCCTTGCTCCTAGCATCTTGTTTCCCCAAGCTTCATCCAATAACTCTTATTTAAATGATACCTGAGAATCGGGGGCGTTACAACTCTCCCCCACTTGAACTAGACTTCGCCCTCGAAGTCCGTCGGAATAAACAATGCCGGGTAATGCTCGCGCATCTCCGCTTCTGGTTCCCATGTCCACTCGGATCCCCTCCGATGTTCCCATTGTACCTTTACCAAAGGTATTTCCTTGTTCTGAAGAATCTTCTTCTTCCTTTCCAAAATAGCCACAGGCCTCTCCACATAGTTCAGGCGTTTCATCGACCTGAATGTCATCCAACGATACTACTGCCTCTTGGTCCATAATGCATTTT